TTGAGTCTCTCGCCTGTTGCAACAGAGACACAGCTTTGCAACACTGCCAACCTACACTTATCATGTATTGACATATAAAATCATCCCACTAAATCTTTCACTTCACTTTGCCAAATGTTTAGTTGGGCTTTCACAGTTGCTTCCACTTCCTCTTTCGTGTTGCTGCATAGTTGTTTTTTTTTGTCAGCAGTTGTGGCCAGTTGTCAAGCAGTACTCCTACAGTTTCCCAGATGTGTACGCGTGACAGTTTACTCATCAGAGAGCTCACTCTGACTCTTTATGTTTGCTTTTAAGTCTTCTTCTTACATTATTTAGGAGAAAGATTATGGTGACATAGCTTCTGTGGACATAAAGGCTGTATTTATTATACAGTGTCTTCACAAACAGAGGAAGAGAAAGATGCATAGAACAACATGCATGATTTATGGCATAATGCAACTCTGTGTGAGTGCACGTAAAACATTTTGTTATCTTGCACTTTGGTCACTTTTCCTTGCAGATATTTGACTGGATTGAGTGTCAGAGTGGCACCTGTTCTCTGGAATAGTTTTCTCGCTGAAGTCCATTTAACACAATGCCGGTGAAAGGCCTAATGGCTCCAGGTAACTCGGTGCAGCCTCGGGCACTTCTTAAATAGGGAACTCACTAATGGATGTTTAGACAGCATTATTCCCCTGATGAAACTTGTCTGAAGACAAACACAAGCTGACTTTACTGCCTTACATTGCTGCCATTCATTAACATTTGATTTGACGTTTTCCTGCTCCTGAAACGGAACACATTTACATTTATATGACTCCTGTAATGCTTCCTAGGTGAATGGCTTAATACTGAAAAACAATGTGGGAAGTTAGAGATTTGTTTTCTGTGGTGTAAAAGTAACTAAACAAAGCCTGACGAGACATTGACATAATGGACAAATTGATTACATGTTGAAGCTCTTGACAGCGCACACCCACTCTTTCTTCCTCTCTGTATCTCAGATGACACAAGCCACCTCCTCACTAACTTCCTAACTGTAGATTGTGAATCAGGGAAATTCCCCTTCAGTGTAGAAACACCAATGCTGCGTCCCAGACAACTAACCGAATTTCCAACTTCTGACCTTCAAGCGCTCCAGGTGCACGACGCCAAACAAACAAAGAACCATGGCTGACCGTGACAAATGATGTTTCTTTGGCATATGCACATACTGTTGAACTCTCAGCAGTGTTGTCTCCACATTTCTGGGCATCTTTAGGTTTTTTAATGACTTAATGACTTATGCACAGAGATTTTTTAGTGTGACCAGCTCCCTAATAACACTGGTGACATATTTTTATTACTTTATCAATTTCCATGCAGAACAGGTTTTACTATGTGATACTATGTATTTTAATTAAATACAGACAAATATACTTAATGTTGCCTTTTAGTTGGCGTTTTACCATCTACAATGTGCACTTTGTTGTTGTTGTGACGTGAGACAAGGCTTCTTCGTGAATTCGGAGTAGATGGATTTGCACCGAGTTTACAAGTAGAAATTCAGACTTTGAGTGGCGTCCATTGTACTTTTTCTTTTGAAAATGTCAAGTTCCAAGTTGTCTGAAAACGTTGCATTATAGCTTTACAGGATGTGTGAAGCCTTGTTACGACTTTTAGCCCAGTTAGTACGCCTCCCACCACCGTTCAAGCTGAATAGTTAACATGCTATTTTGTTTGTTTAACCCACACATAAAACAGAAATGTAAATACCTCATTATGTGGTTTTAAGACAAGTTACATGCTGTAACTATTTCCTCCAGCCAAGGACATAGATTTAGTTTTAGAAGACAAGTTATGCATTATGAATGCCCTAACCCTGTAATCACCTATTTTTCCTTGATAGGTACACCAAAGAGACAGTAATGTTTGTTTAAAGTGAGAGGGACACATTTAGCTGGCAAAGAGTCGACAAGTTTGCCATTAATTAACATAAAAGATAATATGTCAGTGTTGTGTTTACAGCGTGTTTCCACTGGCTCCAGGCAGACAAACAAATCACACATGAGATTGATATCAATCTTCTCATCTTACTCTCGGACGGCTCAAGCATGTTTCCCAAAATGTTGAACTACTCCTTTAAAGACGAGTAGCATTTATCTCTCTCCCTGCTGGCTCTCTGCTGTAAACAGTCCGCTCTAAAAGGCCTGTTATCTCTGCGCTGTCTCCTCTCATGCCCGTTTAATGATCCTGCAGTGAAACACGATCAGGAAGGAGTTGGGAAGAGTCCTCCAGGATCATGAGATGTAAAGTAATGGGTCGTAGAGTGTAGACATCCATTACGTGGTCTTGTTTCCAGAAAGACAAAGCAATCATCAGCCCCAAATAGCATCTTATGATGTGTCTCTGGCAGGATGTACCTACACCAACTGGGTCCAGGTGCTAGAAGATTTGCAGTAATCAGAACATCAACAAATTGCAGATCAGTGGATGGTGGTGATAGATGAATGTGTTTGCGCATGTATAAATCCAGTGTACATGCAGCTGTCTGCAAATGTACTGTATGCATCTGTATACAGTATGTGTGAATGTATTTGCTTTTGCTGGATTTATATGTCTATGAGCACGCTCACGTTATGTTCCTTTCTGCACCGACACGATTCTCTGTTCTCCTAAATAATCACCCTGATCCTCGGCAGCTGTATACCATTTCTGGGCTGCTCTTTAACCACAGACTGAGACATTAATATGCTCCTGTTTAAGGAGAGCCTGACATCTCATCAGTTTTGGGCCCTCACATCTTGCAGTGCTTGGAGAGGACAGTTTTTGATTTGTGGCCCTCCCTGCAGGGCTTCAGGTTTGTCGGGAGGACCATAAGAGGCAGGGTGTCATGCAGCAACGGTAGCAAGGGTGAGGGTGGCCATGTGGAGCGAGAGGGCAAGGAAGATGGCAGAGCGTCTGAGGATGCATGTCTGTTTGAAATGTTCTGGCAACACCGCATGATGAACAATGTGTACGATAGCTGCGCGTTGAGCACAAGAGGCATTTGTCATCGTGTTTGTTAATGTGTTTTATGCCAGTAAGCCTAAGATTCATTTTTACTTCAACTATTAATTCAAATAACAGATTGGTGCCAGCATAAGGTCTGTTTGTTGGTCATGTGCCAAGACAATTAATGGTGGGATTCTTGTCGTAAGAGAGGTTAAGATCAAATAAGGATATATTTCACTATTATTTCTGAGGCTTTTGAAACATTTGTATCCACTGCCTCCTATATTGTGCTGACATCCTGGCAAATAGATCTGCTTTAGTTACTAACAACTTAACACAAACACTTTTACATAACTTTTACATAACTCTATCATGAGTGATTTTCAATTTAAATGCCAAGCATTAATCAGATGAATGCAGTAACTGATGATGGAGGAAAAACTGACTGACCGTCTGATTGTGAAATGTTTGTCGGTCTCCAGCAAACATTATCCTGTGAAAGGGAACTGAGGCCAAACTGTCTTAAACTGTGTTCATATCAATCCTGACTTGGTGTGTGTGTCTGTGTGAGTATTAATATAATCCATAAATACCTAAACTCTTTCCTCAATGTATCAAGCCTATGCAATCAGTGAGAATCTGCCAGTAATCCTGACTACATCAGTTGTGTAATTGATGAAATTTTGCAGAACCTCCAATACTTCCTTAAAAAAAGCAACATCTGGTAATGTTCCACTTTGGACCGTTACATGTGTACCATTTCTGACACATCTAAGTTGACGACTTTGTTCCAGGGTGTTGGTTTTAAGTTATTATGCCTTCTGAGCTCAACATCTTCTCAGAAGCATCATACAATGATTGCTGCTGTTTTGGGTTTGCAGTCACACAGTCAGCCTCTTCCTCTCTCCCGCTCTGTTTATTCTCATGGGTGTATCTCAATTGGTGAGCAACCACATCCGTGTGAGTTTGGCCAGTTAATAAGCGTGGAGAAGACATATCCCTCATGTCATCATGGCTGGCCCCTCTGGTAGTCTGGTTTGGCCTCTGCTCCCTCTGGGCCCTCTCACTCTGTCTCTAGCTTATTAGTTTTTAGTCCAGGCACTAGCGTCAGGGAAACATTAACGTCCAATGCATAAAAGCACTCAATCAGCACAGGCCCTTAACTAGGCCACTGTTTGTTGGATATTTTATGGAGGAAATGGAGAATTGTTGATTGAGAAGAGGAGTGAGGTGACAAAGACAGTTGTAGTTTTGTCATGTAGCATTTTCTGCATCTGTTTTCAGGACATTTCTGAAAATTGAAGGCATTGTGTAATTACGTAATGTCCTGGTGATCTTGTAATAGCAGCGGTAAAAACCCAAGACACCAAAGAAAACCTGCTCTAAGTGTGACAACACCAAGAAGTTATGCTCATCTTGTCTGGTAATATCCAAATACCATTTTACTCAGTACCTTACATGTAAGCTTCCTAATCCTAGTAATAAATCACCAAAATGACCAGCATAAAGTGTCAAAGCTACTGTCCAGACAATATTCCTCGGAACATAAATTGATCATTTACTAGAGAAACACACCAGCAAAATCTTAGCTAAGCAGAGAACACAAATGGAGCAATGCAGAAAGGAGGAAAATCTTTTTTTAAAGGAAACAGGAGGTGGTATTTAAAGAAGTCGAAGACCTCTCCTCACCCTCACAGATGGTGAGGAGAGAGAGCAAGAATGTTGAGACTAAACTGCAGATAAGACTGCATGCTGAGTTGCTCCTAGGGAGTGAATGTGAAGCAGATCCCTGCATGTAGCCTATGTTCACCAAAGTTGCTCTAAGTAAAGGGTTGAGCTCTGCATCGCCAGAACAAGGCTGCAACATGATTGACCGATAACCAGAATGAAAACTAGCAGGGCTATCTAATCTGGGACAGAAAACCAGCAGTGCTCTGTATCCTGAGACCTAGACTGAGGTCTTCAGACACAACTCTCTTGTATTTTGCAGGTATTTACATTTGTAATCTATGATCAGTAAACTCTGTCTAACGCGTCTATTTCTTCAGATTGCAGGCTTTATCAACGCCATTCGCCCATTTTGTGGCGACACGGAGAACCTGACAGCCTTCCGCTTCTACGCACTGAACCCCATCGTGGATCCCTGGGTCTTCATTATCTGCCGCAAGTCTGTGTTCCACCACCTTTGCTCTCTGCTGAGCTGCCGCTTCAGCAGAAAAGCTGTGAAGACGAAGGCACACTGCGCTCTGTCTTTGCCCCTTGACAGTCACATGCAGCACAACCCCCCCAGACATGACCGTTGCACAGACAAACATGTTCTCCAGTATACATCTGTGACCCAACAGAACCCGGGGGTGACTGGAAGCTAGGAGGATTCCATGTCTGACAAAACATTTGTGAAATGATATTTTAACATTTGCATACAGGATACGTGCACTCACCATTTTAAGGCTTAAGGTCTTAAACTTCCAATTACTAATAGAAACTGTTTCAAAGTTGCAGGAAGACTTGTGCCATAAAACAAACAGCACTGTAACGTACCACTAAGGAACACATCAAATCATATCATGCCTATGAATAATATACTGTAGAATCAGAATATGTGCACTTGGGTAAAAGCTATATGGGTAAACAATACACATGAGTGTATTCTCTCAGCCTTTTCTTTAAAACACAGCCAGGTAACTCCACTAATGGTTGGATCACAGCTACAGATCTATGACGTGTCCTGCAGGTCGCACTAAACATGAAGATGGCGGTTTATTTCCTAGTCATCGCTGGATGACGTGTTAATCCATTTCCCCTGACCACAATTAAAACGCATCTGTGACAGGTTGAGTGATCCAAAAGAGAGACACGTATTGTATTCAAGTGAGGAGACGTTGTCATTTGGTTTCCCAGGCCAGGTGGTATATAAATATGAATGTATTAGCAGGCTTTAATCTGAAGTAGTCTGTCATGTCACAAGAGTAAAAGGCTACAGCAATGCTCACGGTCCTTTTAAGGCTTCACTTTGGTACAAAGGTTGCTTTGAGCGAAATGCATGTTGATGTTTAGCAGGTATCATGTTCAACATCTTAGTTCAGCATGTTTCCTTGTTTAAATTAGCTCATTTGAACAAAACACAAAGTACAGCTTGGATTGATAGGAATGTTATCAGTTGTGCAGGTATTTTGTCATAAACCAAAGTATTGAACAAATTCAAATGTTGGCTTGATTATGGTTTTAAATGTAAAGTGAAATAATCAAATTACTCTCACTCCTAAAATGGATTTAACTAAACACTTTTTAAATTGAACTCCAATCTTCTGTCAAGAAAGCAGATTGCTTTCTAAAAAACTAGACAAAAGGTTGTTTTTTTTTCAAACCACACCTGAGAGCTGAGTTAAATGGGTTTAGATGGCTACTTTAGTCCCAAGCTAAGAATAATTGACCCTTCGCTAAAACCCGCCACCTGTTGGTAGTCTGTCAAGCTGTCAGAGATACCATGGAGCCCACACTGTCACTAACTGCACCCCCTGAATAAATGTGTATCTCATTCTCGGAAAAAAGAGATTTCAGTGAAAAGCAAAAATGTCTACAATATGGGTTTGAAGGATGTATCCAGGATGTCAAACTGGTTCAGCAGCTGAAAACAGATTCAAAAAGATAAAGATGGAAGCTAAAGCCTACAGATCAGTGTAAAAGTGAACCAGCCCTCACCTGGGGATCGAGTCAAAAGACAATGAACTTATGGAACAACGCTTCTTCTACAAAGCCGGGTAGGTCTTAACTCACTGTTACAACAATTAAAAATCAAAAGCGTATGTGTATACATTCAGTATACCGTTAGTTGCTAGCGTAGCCTAGAAGTGTTAACGTTAATTAATGATGTGCTAACACACTTTGTTAATGTTTGCTCCACTGGTATTTACTTGGAAATGTAACAAGCTGGCCAAAGCTGTGCTGTGATTGACCAGTCTGCGTTAGAGGGACGACAGTTAGTAAAAGGTTAATTCCTATTCCTGTCCAGCTGATAATCTCACTTTATTGCATGCACATTTGCTTCCCTCCTTAATATTCTCATTGATTTCCAAACTACATATGACGCTTGTCTGTGAATAGTAAACTCTGTGAGATTTAGCTTTTTGTTGTGACTTTAAATGCATTTAAATATCGTGTATTTATGCCTTTTCACCGTGTATGATGTCATTCCTGTTTGGTTTATGCAGTGAATTGCAGAGATTTAGGGATAACAGGCATGGTAATTTGAGTTCATTCATATTTTATTTTAAGGCTGTGTTGCACATTAACTTTTTGCTGTATAGTCTTCAAATACACAGCCATGCATGACCCGAGGTAAGACACACACGTTGCACCACTTGCACATTTGGTCTTTGAGGATATTTAAGTTGTACATCCATCAAAATGAATGAAAAAATATACATAAAAGAAAAGTGTTTGTTATATGGTACACATTTCATGATTTCATGAGAAATAAAATAATATAAGATTAAAAAAAAACAGTCATACAACTGATGTCTGTGTTTCCAAAGAGAAATGTTTATGCTGATTTCATGATGTTTAATTAACTGTCCTGCTGCTCTTTTTCTCGGCCCATGTATAGTTTTTCAAAGCCTGTGCACGTTTACGATAGATGAAATGGATGCAGAGACAAGATAAACAAGATGTTTAAATTGAGACAATCATTTGTCTCGTTATAGCCCCCAACATCAACATTGACTACAGGGAAACATTTATTTGACATGCAGTGCTCTGTTTCATAAGACTGTGGCCATTTGGAGAGATTATTTTACTGTATGAAACAATTATAAACGAAGCCTCATTTAGTTACATGGCGATGACATGTTCCAGTCTATCAAGTAAAAGTTGTCAGAATGAAAGAAAGTCAGGTCATGATTTAGTTAACCACTGACCTGAAAGTCTCATGTGAAAGTTATAGTTGGAAGAGCAGCGGCTGGTGCTGTAGCACCACTGTGTGGTTAATGAGAGTACACATTTCCAAAAGTGGATGTGCATTGCTAATGGTTCCTCCTCAGGCAACCACATGTCAGTGATAGTGTGTCAAAAAGGATTGAGTCAATAAGTAAACCAAAGCAGTAGCAAAACTTAATTTGCTTGGTTGCCACATTTGAGTTGCTCAACAAAAGATCACCCGAGGGTTTGAGAGTACATGAATTCATAAACTAGAGTAATTAGGATGTGGCTCACAATGTAGCTCACAATGTGGTTTTAACAGCAGTTCACACAATTGGCTGACTCATTGCAACACCAATGCAGCGGGGTTTGTTCATAACAAAAGCCGCAATTACTTTTTAAGAAAAACCCTGACATTTCAAGTTTCTCTGAAGTATAAGACAGTTTTTAAAACATGGGGAAGAATTAACCTCTTGAGGTCATTGTAGTACCCTTTAAACAGTCCTTATCCCTCTTGCACACCATCCTTTTTTCCCCCCAGCACAAATGCAACTATGTCACATAGTTATTTCAATTAAGTCTAAAACTGAAAAGATACATCTAAAAAGTTAAATCACTAATTGTTGTAAAACATTTTCCCCATTTCTACACAAAACTGAAAAAAAAAAACAAAAAAAAAAAAACACAACTATAGTAGTCTATTTACATCTTATTTTATCCCAACAGACTTATCAAAAGTCTATGTAGTCACTGAAAATGTGAATAATTGTTTTCTTTACTACGGTATACAGACATAAGATACGGTCTAAAAGCCCCACGTCAACTGATTCTCTACACGATATGTAACTAGAGTTATGTTACTATGAATAAAACACTCATTGTATTTACCCATCAATAGACTGACTCCAGAGGGCCAACACGGACACACTATCCTCACAACAAATGATGCCACATGGATCACAGAACCATCATTTTATTTCCAGTGACCCGAGCACATCACACCTTTAAAAATAAACAATTGTGTCAGACTTTTGTTATGTGGGAGGAAAACTCAAATCCAGATATCTCCTCACAATTGACGAGCTCTACGAGTAGCTTCCTGCCTCAAACAGTTTGATGACGACGGCTTCATGAGGCCGCAGTTCCAATGTGTCCAGAGTTGTCGACCCCAAGCGGACCGTTCCCGTGTTGGCCACAAAGACCCCAGCTTTGGGCAGGCTCGGGGCCCAGGCGGGATCCAGGGCGTGAGGCTCAGGCCCGACGTTGAGCAGAATGAGGAAGTGGACACAACCCCAGGAGCGCAAGAAGGCCAGGATCGGGGGAAGAGTGGAGTTAGAGGAAGAGGAGGAGTTGTCGGTGGAAGAATTGAAGGGGAGGAAAGTGAAACTGCCAAACAGAAGAGCTTCTTCTCTGGCTCTTGAGTGACTGAGGGTGGAGAAGAGAGCAGAAGCTAAAGGCCTCTTCTCCTTGTCCTGCAGGAGGGATGGTAGAGAGAAGTGTCAGACAGAAACCTACCCAACTAAAGCTTTGTGTCTTCAACTTTACATTACTTGAATGGACTAAGGAAATATTGAAAGTATTTCGAGAGGGACATCTGGCTTTATTGCTCACTGTATGGGTGTCTGATGATTTGTTCGTGTCTCCATCTGACGAGCCGACTTCCAGAGACGCATTCTGCGAGACAGAAAAGATTTATTTGGTAATGTGAATTTAATTAATAATTTATAGACTCAAAGTTTCTGGCGGGACTTCACCTGTGCTTGGTCGATGTCTTCACCGTAGCGTACTACAGGTGTCCCTGGCAGAGTCATCACCAACACCAGGAGTAATTTCTTCAAGTTAAGGGATGCTTTACCTCCAACCTGCAGGAAATATTTAATTATTTATGTCATTCGGTTAGTGCCAAAACAATAAACCGATCATCCAAAAATGAATCTGCAACCGATTTAAATATTGATAGCACATGTCTTACTGTCCAGCTGGGCCATACGTCTTCTTCTCTTGTTTGCAGGTGTGTCTCTATGGAAACAGCCACTTCATTAGCAGACAGGATGTGTTGCGACGATGGCATAATTGACCTCATGACCACATCTACCAGCGTAACATTGCCCTGGCTGAAGGATTTTAGAGGAGGCAGAACGTCTTTCGTCTGTTTTACCACCACAATCCTAAAGAGACGGGCACATTTTGAGCTTCATATTAAATACATTTTATTTATTTTTTCCAAACATCTCTGCACTGCATGTTTAACAATACCTTTCCTTCTCCTCACTGCTGAATTCTTTCAAGACACCTTTCCACTCCAGGAGAGTCTGAAATATATTTTAAAAACAGGAGAGTTTGTTGGAACTCTGCTCGTTAGACATCGAAACGTGCGTGAGCATCATTTTACCGTTTCTGAATACGCTGCATCTGCGTCACAGATTGCAAAGCCTGCCACACCCTGCTCCAGCCAGAACCGAAGTGCATGCTGTGGAGAAGTATCGGTATATTTTGAGAAATCCAGCATCACTGAGAACTTTTAAGTAGCATGCCCAGAGAATATTTAACATGTACTGTGGCTGAGAAGTTTGATGTTTTGTCTGCGTTTCCCGCTACATCCTGAGGTCCCAATAGATCCAGTTCACAGACGTCTAACACCACTTTCAGATCTGCAGGCCCAATAAAAAAAGCTCATTAAGTCCACCTACGCAGGCTGCTTGACAAAAAGAAGACCATCACTCACCTGCTTTGTGGCTCTCTGCAAGCAGATGCTGGATCTGAGGCAAAGTCCCAAATCTTTTACCAGTGGCATTGGAGTTTAAAGGAGAGGTCTTTTTGTCAAACGGACCCTCCAGGATTAGAGCGCCTATACCCAGGGACCTGAGGTAGGGCAGCTGCTTACACAGCGCTTGAGAGAGATTAAACAGACTTAGTAACTTATTTTTTACATTTTTGTCTCAAAACACTATAGTTGCAATTCATGTTTTGTTAAAATAGTATTCATGACTTCTTTACGTTTAGTTTTTCATGCTTCAAGTTGTATGCAACAGTTATATTTTCTTTTCCAAGGCTACTTATCTGCACTTTGTTCTTAAACATCTTTTAGTTGGTACATTTCACTGTGGAGGACCAAAACAACCAAATAAAGTGCTATGTTATCACTTCTCTGAAGTTAGTTGCAAGCATGTGGTAGCCTGCAATATTAATGCTGGGATGTCTGCACAGCGTTAGATAAAGTCCGCCCTGAAGAAAGAGGTATCAACTTCTTTATGCAAAGTATGACACACTTTGGCATCAGATTAGTATTCTCAGTAATCAAGGAACTTTACTTGAGTTTGTCAAAGGTTGTTAAATGTTATGTTCTTATACAGTGACTGTCAACATAGCTCTCGGATTAATATCAGCCAGCTGGTATTCGAACTGGATCTCCACCAATAAATGAAAAGGCTAGGTTACTAACCAGGCAATTAAGTGGGCAACTTATCTGGAGCCCAGACAGTTCAAAGTTCACTGTATGTCAACTAGAGTGCGCCAATTTAATTGAAATGTGTTTGGTAATAGGCATAATTAAAGCTGCAGTGTCATCCGACATGACAAGGGCCTTAAAGTGCCTCAAGATATTCTGGTGTCAATTTTGTTCTTACATTTTTCACAATTCTTTAATCAATGTGTTTAATCAAATTGCCACACAGTAAATCTGGAACTAGTTCGAGCATATAGAAAACTGCATAAATTACATAGAGAGTGGGTTAACAGGGGCCCAGTAACTCATTTTGTGTAGGGCACCCTAGCAAAAATAATGCGGCCCCTGACATTAAGGCTCATAAATGTCACCATAAAAACTTTTCGCAGCAATATGATTTTTTTCTTTTGATTTACAAAATGTAAACTTTAGCGGCCACCAGAAAAGTAGATAGTCACAAATCTTATTTCCCTAATGTTACTGGCATTTACTCACCATTGATGCCCCCTGACCCGTCGGCTCGCTCCTCCGTGAGCAGGTCGGGCTGCAGCTGGTAGAACAGCGACTTCTGCCACCACTTGAGCGGCGTTTTAACCGGCCGGGGGCTCATTACTATGATGGCGATGGCGATGGCGAGCATGGCCAGCCAGGTCAGCCAGAACAGCAGCACCAGGTAACAACGCGCCTTCCGCCACCGCGGACCCCCCGCGGCGACCTCCAGCTCCTCCTTAGTCAGGGGCTGCCACTGCTGGAAAGGCTCCGCTTCAGGCTCCGGGACGAGCAGCAAGGCCGACTCCGAGCCGCCCACGCTGGCCGACAGCCTCGGGCCTGCCACGGTGCCGTATCCGGTGACTGCTGCGTTCAGAGGCATCCTGCCCGGCTGCAGGTGGGTGACATACAGTTACATTAAAGGGTTTAACTTCACTGTGGATAAGCGCGCAGACAGTGACATTGTAGAGAGTTGGCCAACTGTTGCTGTGCTGAAGATGTGTTTGCTCTATCCATACCTCCTCAGTTCGCTCCATGTTAATCACAGGGGAGGGGGGGGGGGGGCACAGATGAGAACGCAGGTGCTGCAGGATTCAACGCTTCTACAGCGAAGTGCACACACACTCAGCATGCAGCTCTGACATGACTTGCCTGCGCACAACTTTTCTCCTGCCGCTACCTGTTTTACACAGGTGTT